ACTGAACATCAAGCTCTGAATTTCGGTAATAGTTCAGCTCAGTGATGCTCTTACTGCTACTGATACAAAATGGGAGTATGTGGGAGAGCACGCTGAGGGAGAACACAGTTCTTCGTGTGAATATTTTTGTGTATTTTTGTCATCACGCGCGGAATTGATACTGTTTCCCTATGCCGTGGAGGACTCACAGGCTGTTAAGAATTGGGACCTCTAAAAAATAAATGTACAATATTTAATAGAATTTATGCTTGTGTAATGCTGCACCCCACCTAATCCTGTCTCGGGAGCAGTTGAAACGTTTCTGAATCTTCAGCTTTAGATCTAAGTATTTGAATTGATGCAGTTATGTTCTCAGTGCCGGGGCTGGGGCTGTGTTCTGTTTTGTGAAGAATGCGCGGTCACGGTCATTGACTTGGAATACTTGACATGAAGGTCTCCCTAATGAAGAAATATGAGCATCTTAATACCTGATTACTACTAGAAAAGTTATTTTTCTCTCTTATTTATGGATTTTCAGAAATCTATGCTAAAGATATTTCAGCTTTGGACTTGAGGCCCTTTTCTGTGAGGGCTGAACTAAGTAAACACTCCTGGTTTTCACTTTGGAAAATGCATAGAAGAAATCCTAACTTACTGTGAGTTCAAGGAGTATGATCACCTTCTAAATATCAAAGTGTAGCCTTCAGCTAAAATCATTTTAATTTTCATAAGCCTGAAGTCTAGGTAATGTACTTTTCAGATGAAATGGTGTTAGTACCTTTTTGGGGTTTTTCCTTACCCCCTTCAACCTTACGGTTTATTTAGCATAGAGGAACAACCACCGTTTCTTGGATCGTGGCATTTTATAGCAGAACCTGAGTTCACAGTTCTGGGGTGTGTTACTAAAGGTTAACAATATCTCCTGCTTAAAAGTGGATTTTTTCCCCCCGCTGATCAAAAGGATTGCCTTTAACAATTGATTCTGTCACAGCGGCATTCTGTCAGCCAGGTTGTCAAGAGTCAGTTCCGGGGTCGGAAAGGTTTCTGTGATGAGTGTGGTCCAGCAGGTGTCCTCCAGCTTTGAGGCGTCCCTGAGAAGAACTGGCGGGGGGGTTGAGGAGGGTGGTCCAGGCGTGGGAACGGGGCTGTGAGAGAGGAGTGGCGCGGGCGGAGCCCGTGGTCCTGCCGAGTGGCCGAGCTGTGGTGGGGAGAGAACAGATGCAGTAAGGGGGGATGTGTTGGGTCTCCCCTTGGGCGGGGTTCACCGGCTGAGAGGGCATCCAGGGCCAGCCAGCAGTGTGTGAGGCAGCACAGGACCAGCCAGTATTTATGGGTCATTTCCACGTTCCACGTTAGGCTTCGGCGACTCAAAGATTGTTGGACCTATCCTGCCTTTACCACGCCACCATTTTCCGCTTCTACATCAATGACCGTGTCCGGTCTCTGGTGCTGGTTCTTCTCCTCCTCTGTCCTCCAAATCTTGGGGAGCATCAGGGCTTGGTTTTCTTCTCTTCCCTCTATGTGCTCTCTCCCTGGGTCTTCTGATTCAGTTTTGTGGCTTTAAATAGCATCTTCTGTATTTTCGGGCAACTCTCAAATTTGTGTCTCCACGCTGGACCTCTCCCACCCATCTCCCTGCCCACTTGAAATCATTACTTGGGTAACAGTGGGCATTTCCACCTCAGCTTTCCCGAACTGATCTCCTGATCCTAATCTCTAGATTCTGTTCCTCTCGGAGTGCCTGGCAGCTCCTTTCTCCATGCTCAGCACCCAGTCCTTGGAATCTTGATACCTGTCTCCTTTCTCCCCTCTCTCTCTCTCCTCTTGCTCCTTCCCCTCCCCTCGCTGCCCCTCCAATTTATCCAGAATTTGACTGCCGCTCCCCACCTCCAGCACTAGCATTTCTGGGCTAAGCCACCAAGGCCTGTCACCTCTATTAGTGCAATAGCCTTCTAACTGGTTAGTAACAGTGTGTGAGTACTAGTTCACTAGCTGTGACGAGTGTGCCATAATAATGTGAGATGTTAGCAACAGGGGAAACTATCTTCATAACTTTTCTGTAAATCTAAAATGCTTCTAAAATTAATTTATAGAAAAGAAATCTCCCTTACTGCTACCCCCCCCCCCCCGATGCCCTAGCCACAGTGGTCTCTGCTGTTTCTCTAACTCCTGCTGCTTCTCTACTGGAGGTGATTTTGAGCCCCAGGGAACATTGGCAATATCTGGAAACTTTTTTTGGGTGGGGGGAGTGTGGAGTGAGATAGAGGAGATGCAACAGGCTTTTAGTTGGGTAGAGACCAGGATAATACTGAACATCCTAAAATGCATCCTAGGCCTTTTGAATTTAGGGTTTTCTCTTTCCCTTCAGATTCCTGACCATAGTCCCTTGCCCTTCTTTATTTTTCTCCTTACTGCCTCATCATCAGCGTGTGATACACTCTTTCTTCGCTTCTCACCAGGAAACATGTCTTCCATGAGGATTTGTTGCTAGTTTGGCTCACTTTTATATCTCCAGCGTCTACAACTATTCCTAGCACATAGCAGGGGTTCATTAAATACTCATTGAATGAATCAAATAATTGGGCGAGGGGAGTGAATGACTGATACAGATACTGTGCACCTATGCTAAAAAATTCAGATAGGAAAGTGAAAATGAAGCGTGAACATTCCCCCAGCTGCCTGTTCTCCAGAAGTTATCACTGTTGACAGTTTATTTTTTTATCCATCCAGAATTTTTCTGTTCATTTCTCAGCACATTCGTGTCCTGTGCACATAATTCATCTCCCGTCCCTTTTTACAAACATAAATGGGATCAGTTTCGTTTTGCCAGTTAACCTATCTGGACGATCTTCACATAGCAACATGTAGAGTGCTGTCTTATTCTTTTTAATGGCTACATAATATTTTATATGTAGAATTAAGCAAAAATAGTTTAATTGGTTGCAGTAGAATCCGGGGATAATACTTTGTTGTAAAGTAGATAGCAGTAATAAATCCTGTAAAACAATAGACCGTGCTTGTTTAACAGCTTTTTAAGTGTTTTTAAAAGTATTTTCTCTATGTGTGTGTATATACACACACACATACATATATATACATATGTATTATTCCTAGTTTGTAAATGCCTCAGGATCAGGAAATAGTCTTTAGTTCCACGTACCTTACATGGTAGCAGATTCTCAATACCTGTAGGTTGAAGTTTTCCCTTGTTTTGATAAAATTATTGGGTCATTACATAATTAAAACTTCCCTGAATATTAGAACTGTGGACCAAATGAAGAGATTGTTTGGGGAGAAAACCATTTTCTTATTTTATTTAAATGATGTTTGTTCTCCTGGAAGCCAAAAATCTGTGTAAATCTCCTGACTTTATCCGCTGAGGATATGGCATGATGGCCAAAGAACCAAGTAGGGTGCGCAACTGCAGCGTAATTCAGTGTCGGTCAGGCTTCTTATTGCTTTGCGCACAGCAGTGCTTCTCTCCTTTCTCCCCTCATAAAATGACTACTGGGCCAGTGTTGGCAGTGACGCAGTTAGGATACTGTAAATTAATGCCGCTGTGCTAATTTCAGCTGACCTTTAAACCAACCCTCCAGTCTCCTGCTGCTTTCACCTTTGGGTGGGACTCCCATCCCGTGAATCTTCATCTGAGAGTTACTTTGCCAAGGTGCGGTGCTGTCCTTTACTGAGTACTGGGATGTTTTGTGAGGCTCCGTTGACTTGCAGGGTGAATTTGTTGGCATGGAGAGGAACAGTTGGTCTGAAGAAATTGTCCTGCTCACCTGGTAGGCCAGCCCAGTGGCCTGCCTTTCTTCCCACGTGAAAGGCAACCCTGTCTCAAATGCCCCCTTGCCTTCTCTCTCACCCTCCGACCTTCCCACAGCGCCCGCTATCTTGCTGCATTGATGGGCCCTCTCCATGTGTTTAGCTTAGATGCTTTAGCTGTGTGTGTATGTGTGTGTCTTGTGTTTAGTTGTGAACACTGGTTGTTGACAGCAGTGGTGAGAAAACATGGATGTGGTTGGTGAAATCTGCTTTGCTGACTTAAGAAAAGTTCTGTTTGATATTAAGCTACTGGTTTCCCATTGGTAAATGGACTCTTTTTTTTTTTTTAAGATTTTATTTATTTATTTGACAGACAGCGAGAGAGGGAACACAAGCCGGGGGAGTGGGAGAGGGAGAAGCAGGCTTCCCGCTGAGCAGGGAGCCCGATGTGGGGCTCGATCCCAGGACGCTGGGATCATGACCTGAGCCGAAGGCAGACGCTTAACGACTGAGCCACCCAGGCATCCCTAAATGGACTCCTTTTTGACTCATGTTGGTTTAGGGGTGATCTCAGTATCAAAATGATCTATTTATTTTATAATTATTTTAATACTCTTAAGTAGTTATATAGTGCTAAATGAGACAATAAACCCTTACATTTTGTAGGGAGTGAACTTAATTACTCTTCTAAAGAAATAATTTCAGGCTACATTTTGAAAGGAGATGACAGAATGTCATAGGAGGTCATATGAAACCACCTTTCAGAGTTTTTGTTGTTCTAAATTAATCAAAGCTTTTGTGCTTAGGATACTGTAGTGGCATTAAATTTGTGAGCTTTGGGGCATCTTATTTATTGTATATGAGTAAACCCAAAAAATGTTTGTTGTCTCGCTTTGTTAACAATTGGTTATATTTGCTTTGAAGATATAAGTATAATACGAATACAACTTAGCTGTTACACTTGGCAGTCTTTGATCTGATGTTCCTTATAGTTCTTTAACTCGAGTCATCAAAGTATGAGAAAAAGATTTTTCCTAAACTTAGTAATTCCAAACGTGTTAGAGGTATTGATACTTGGAAAACAGGAAAAAAAAAAACCTAGTAACTATTGCATTTATTCACATTTCATACAGATGTACAATACTTTATTAAAATGTAAGGTCCCAGACAAACTAACAGAACAAATTTACACTGTTTTGTTTGTTTTTATTTCTTTGAGGTCATGATTCTTATTTCTTTGTTCTGTTTTAGGTTCCTGAGGGTTAAGCGATGGGGAGACCCCTGGTCTTGCTTCTGCTTCTGCTCCTCCTGCAGCATTTTGGAGATGGTGACGGAAGCCAAACACTTGCCCAGACGCCTCTCCAGTTTACACGTTTCCAGTACAACGTCACGGTGCACGAGAACTCTGCAGCGAAAACCTATGTCGGGCATCCTGTGAAGATGGGTATTTACCTTACAAATCCATTGTGGGAGTTAAGGTACAAAATTGTCTCCGGAGACAATGAAAACCTTTTCAAAGCTGAAGAGTACATTCTTGGGGACTTTTGCTTTTTAAGAATAAGGACCAAAGGGGGAAATACAGCTATTCTGAATAGAGAAGTGAAAGACCATTACACACTGGTCGTCAAAGCCATTGAAAAAAATTCTAATGCCGAAGCCCGAGCAAAGGTCAGGGTGCAAGTGCTGGATACAAATGACTTGAGACCTCTCTTCTCTCCCACTTCGTACAGTGTTTCCTTACCTGAAAACACAGCCATAAGGACCAGCGTTGCAAGGGTCAGTGCCACTGATGCAGACATAGGAACCAATGGAGAGTTTTACTACAGCTTCAAAGACCGAACAGACATGTTTGCGATTCACCCAACCAGCGGTGCAGTCGTTTTAACTGGTAGACTCGATTACGCAGAGACCAAGCTCTATGAGATGGAAATTCTTGCCGTGGACCGTGGGATGAAACTCTACGGAAGCAGTGGTATCAGCAGCCTGGCCAAGCTGACCGTCCATGTGGAGCAGGCCAACAGATGTGCTCCCGTAATCACGGCGGTGACGCTGTCCCCGTCAGAGCTGGACAAGGACCCAACATACGCAATCATAACCGTGGATGACTGCGATCAGGGTCCCAGTGGGGAAATAGCTTCCTTAAGCATTGTGGCCGGTGACCTCCTTCAACAGTTTAGAACGGTGAGGTCCTCCCCGGGGAGCAAAGAATATAAAGTCAAAGCAGTGGGTGCCATCGACTGGGACAGTCATCCTTTTGGCTACAGTCTGACACTCCAGGCTAAAGATAAAGGGACTCCTCCCCAGTTCTCTTCTGTAAAAGTCATTCGTGTGACTTCTCCGCAGTTCAAAGCCGGCCCGGTCAAGTTTGAAAAGGATGTTTATAGAGCAGAGATCAGTGAATTTGCTCCTTCCAGTACACCCGTGGTCATGGTGAAGGCCACGCCTAGTTATTCTCATTTGAGGTATGTTTTTAAAAGTACACCCGGAAAAGCTAAATTCAGTTTAAATCACAACACGGGTCTCATTTCTATTTTAGAACCAGTTAAAAGACAGCAGGCGTCCCATTTTGAACTTGAGGTAACAACAAGTGACCGAATAGCCTCCACCAGAGTCTTGGTTAAAGTCTTAAGTGCAAATAGCAATCCCCCTGAATTTACCCAGACCGCTTACAAAGCATCTTTTGATGAGAATGTGCCCATTGGGACGACGGTCATGAGTGCGACTGCCATAGACCCCGATGAGGGTGAGAATGGGTATGTGACCTACAGTATTGCAAACTTAAATCACGTGCCGTTCGTCATTAACCATTTCACTGGTGCTGTGAGTACTTCAGAAGACTTGGACTATGAGCTGATGCCTCGAGTTTACACTCTGAGGATTCGAGCGTCAGACTGGGGCTTGCCCTACCGCCGGGAAGTAGAAGTCCTTGCCACGGTGACTCTCAATAACTTGAATGACAACACACCCTTGTTTGAGAAAATCAACTGCGAGGGGACGATTCCCAGGGATCTGGGTGTGGGGGAGCAAATAACCACCGTTTCCGCCATCGATGCCGACGAACTTCAGTTGGTCCGATACCAGATCGAAGCCGGAAATGAACTAGATCTGTTTAGCTTAAACCCCAACTCTGGGGTGTTGTCCCTAAAGCAGTCGCTCATGGATGGCTTAGGGACCAGGGTGTCCTTTCACAGCCTGAGAATCACAGCTACAGATGGAGAAAATTTCGCCACACCGTTATACATCAACCTAACCGTGGCGGCCACCCGCAAGCCAGTACACTTAGAGTGTGAAGAGACTGGTGTTGCCAAAATGCTGGCGGAGAAACTCCTGCAGGCAAATAAGTTACACAGTCAGGGAGACGTCGAGGATGTTTTCTTTGATTCCCACTCTGTCAATGCACACGCGCCTCAGTTCAGAAGTACCCTTCCAACTGGCATGGAGGTAAAGGAAAACCATCCAGTGGGGTCCAACATAATTTTCATGAATGCTACTGACCTTGACACTGGCTTCAATGGAAAACTGGTCTATGCTATTTCTGGAGGAAATGAGGATAGTTGCTTCATTATTGACATGGAAACTGGAATGCTAAAAATTTTATCGCCCCTTGACCGTGAAACAACAGACAAGTACACCCTGAACATTACAGTCTCTGACCTTGGTATACCACAGAAGGCCGCTTGGCGTCTCCTAGACATCAGAGTTCTGGATGCCAATGATAATCCTCCGGAGTTTTTACAGGAGAGCTATTTTGTTGAAGTGAGCGAAGACAAAGAGATAAATAGTGAAATCATCCAGGTTGAAGCCACAGATAAAGATTTAGGGCCCAATGGACACGTGACCTACTCTATTCTTACAGACACAGATAAATTTTCCATTGACAGCGTGACTGGAGTTGTTAAAATTGGGTACCCTTTGGATCGAGAAGTACAGCACGTGCATTACTTAAAGATTGAGGCCAGGGATCAAGCCCGAGAAGAGCCCCAGTTGCTTTCCACTGTGCTTTTGAAAGTATCATTAGAGGATGTTAATGACAACCCACCTAAATTCATCCCACCTAATTACCGTGTGAAAGTTCGAGAGGACCTTCCAGAAGGAACCATAATCATGTGGTTGGAGGCCTATGATCCTGATTTAGGTCAGTCTAGCCAAGTGAGATACAGTCTTCTGGACCACGGAGAAGGACACTTTGATGTGGATAAACTCAGCGGAGCAGTCAGAATTGTACAGCATTTGGACTTTGAGAAGAAGCAAGTGTATAATCTCACTGTGAGGGCCAAAGACAAAGGGAAGCCAGTTTCTCTGTCTTCCACTTGCTATGTTGAAGTGGAGGTCATTGACGTGAATGAGAACTTACACCCACCGGTGTTTTCCAGCTTTGTGGAAAAGGGTGTAGTGAAAGAAGATGTGCCTATTGGTTCCTCCGTAATGACAGTATCTGCTCATGATGAGGACACAGGAAGAGACGGGGAGGTCCGCTACTCCATTAGAGATGGGTCCGGTGTTGGTGTTTTCAAAATAGATGAAGAAACAGGTAAATATGTTCTTTTTAGTCCGGTTTTCCTAAAGGAAATGTCTGCCCTGTGCTACCTGCTTTACCCTTCCCTTTTGGCCTCTCAGGGCTCAACACAGAGGTGAGTGTGCATGCTTTTTGTCCTTTTGCAGGTGTCTCTGTGCATAGTAAGGAATGAGTTTGGAACCAAAGGAACCTGACTGACTTGGCATAAAATGAGTTAAAAAAAACAAAACAGAAACAACCAGGAGAAAATTGACATCATCACCACTGATACTGATCTTTTAAGTTTGTGCTCTGTATTATCAGAAGCATCATGGTGGTTTTGCTGCAACTTTGAGAAGCTGTTGCAGACTGTTTGCAGACTTACAGTAGCCCTTCCCACTACCTAGCATGCCTTCCAGAGATTATCGTACCCCTGTGAAGCGATGCAGTGTACAGAGAGAACGCTCTGCTGACTTCCATGATGTGGGCTGCTTTCCTTAGGAGGTCCTTCAGGTTTTGTTGGGAGAGGCAGAAGCAGGGCAGTGCCATGTTGAATTGAAGGGACGTGGCTCTTCCAGGGTGATCTTGACAAGTTAGTCATCTCACTGAAACGGACTTCATCTGTAAGATGGGGACACTCAAAATGGCTGCAAGATGAATGGGAGATAAAGTGAAATGACATGGGGAGGCTGCCCAGCATGTGTTAGTCTGTTCATGTCTTGGAAATGGTAGGAATGCTTTGTTATGATACTCTTCCACCTGGAATAAGAGCCTGAAACCAGAACATCCAAGACAGCCGGTGTAGGCTAGAGTATGTATTGTTTCGCACTTTGTGCAGATCTCGAACGTAGCTGCTTTTCACGGATATTACAGTTGTATGTCCGTCTCCCTGGTGGAGTACAAGCCTTTGTATGAGTTTGCTGAGGGCTGCCATAGCAGAGTGCACAGACTGGGTGGCTTAAACCACAGACATTGATGTTTTCACAGTTCCGGAGGCTAGAAGTCGAAATTGGAGGTGTTGGCATGGTTTCTCTGAGTCTTTTCTCCTTGGCTTGTCTTCTCCCTGTCTTCACACCATCTTCCCTGTGTATGTCCGGGTCCTGATCTCTTCTTATAGGGACACCAGTCCTATTGGATTAGGGACCACCCTGATGACCTCATTTTATTTATCTCTTTTAAGGCCTTATCTCCAGGTCACCTTCTGAGGTACTGGGGATTGGGACTTGAACGCATGAATTTTGGGGGACACAGTTCAGCCCCAAACCACCTTCCAGGACAGGCTTTTAGCTCCTACGTTTTCTGTCTTCAGCCCTAGCAAGAAGTACCAGGCAGGTAGAAGCTGCTCATTAAATGTTAAAAGAACAAATGAGTAAATTAATGATTATTTTGGCTTTGAATGTCCTGCCCTCGGAGAATGGTAGTGGAAATAGAAGGAAACTGGGTAGTAATCACAGTGCTAGATGAACTGCCCTACATGGAGTTCAGTTTATTAATCTCCTTAATGTTTCCTCTATGAACATATCCATTCTAAAAAAGATGCTTTTCTTAATACATTGAAACTTTTAAGTTTATACTCAGTAATACCACAAATAAATTCTTTAGTTACCACCCACTGCACCAACCATGCGTACACTAATATGTATAAAGTACAAGAAGCGTATAATTATCCTGGAAATGAGTTATTTTAGAGGCTATAATATTGTTAATGTACTTCTGTTTATTCAAGGGATTCTTTTTCTAATGAGTTCTATACCACTCGCATGTGTTAGATGTATCTGTGGATTATATACCAGTCATCTAAAATACCAGATTCTTTTTTTCTTCCTTCCTTCCTTCCTTCCAGAGATTTTTTTTCTTTTTGTTTTTTGTTTTTATTTTTTAATTTGAATGTAATGTGTAAAATACATTTTAATTTTTTCACAATATACTGCCATTTAAAATCTTTAATCAAATTTCATGAGATTGTCAGCCATATGACATGCCATGATTAGCTTTCTATAAACAACTTTGCTTTCTGTGTAGAAATCAGTGTCAGTGGCATAAAAAAATAAAACCTTATACTAGGCAAAGAATTTTATTAACCTTGTTTCAAACTTTATTCCCAGGCTTATTCAGTTTAATTAGCTGCAAAGAATGAATTGTGTCTAAGCAAAAACTGAAAAGAGCTGCAGTGTCCAAGGGGCTTGGTCTTAAAAGTATTAGAGCTCTAGATTTTATCGGACCCCCGAACAACATTTTAAAAAGGAGTGCTAATATAAAATAGCAGTTGCCAGTAACTTCTTCAGGTTCTGTCTTCTTCAGAAGTTGACTCCGTTCCCTTCGCTTTGTTCTTAATTCTGCACACGATCTGGAACGTCCCCATCAAGCTGGTCCCCAGCAGCAAGTGGTGCTTTTCCGTCCACAGGTTGTGTGGGCAGAGCGTAAGCCCGTCGTCTTGAACCGGTCAGACCGTCTGCACCCAGTTGCTTTAATTTAAGATGCTGGGTAGCGTTTCTGTCAGCGGCTCTGTGTCAGCATGGTCTGTAACGGGCATGCCTTCCCGGCAGCTTTGGGCAACTGGATCCCTGTTCCTCGGTTTGTGAACATAGTCACTTGAGAGGGGGGAGGGTCAGAGGGAGAAGCAGACTCCCTGCCGAGCAGGGAGCCCGATGCGGGACTCGATCCCGGGACTCCAGGATCATGACCTGAGCCGAAGGCAGTCGCCCAACCGACTGAGCCACCCAGGCGCCCCATAGTCACTTCTTTAATACTGGAAGTAGTGTTTCCCCCTAACTTCTTCAAGCAGAACGGAAGTTTTTTATCATCTGCTGTAGCTGTTCTCTGAACCACCTTTTCGTTCCCACCGATGCACACTGGTGCTTCCAGTTTGGTGGAATTCTCCGGGTTCTGGTTCACGAGCCTTTCTTTCATCTTGTTGAAGTGGAAATGGGACTGTGGGGGGCAGGGGGACGACACGGGGATGGGGCACTAGGGTTAGTGCTCAGGGTGGGTCTCAGGTGGCCCAGCTGAGATTAGGTGCTCAGCCCTGGGGAACACAGATGGCTGCTAGAGCCAGATTTTTAAATAATAATTTAACCGACTGCTGTTGGTTATGCTGTTTTCTTTTAGTCACTCCTCTGAGGAGGAGAATATATATCTATTTTGTCATACTCTCCAATATTAATTTGAATTTTCAGGTACAGCGTCAACATGCAAGAGTATCCAAAATTTAAGAACTGCAGCTGAAACAATGAATTTGTTTGTGAATTTCCTAAGGACAATTAGTCCTACTTTTTTTCTTTTTTCCTTTTTGCTCTGGAAAGCCTAAAAAGAATTGGTACAAGTTAAAGTTGAGACAGAAAATAGAACCATATTAATGTACACATTACCTGATGACTTAAATTATGTGAGCACTGCCTCTTTTGGGTTTTTCTTTCAAGGGGAAAGAGTATTTTTATTGTTGCTTTTTATGTATGTATGATTTTTTAGAGAGCGAGAGCGCATGTGAGCAAGGGAAGGGGAGAGGGAGAGAGAACCTCAAGCAGGCTCCACGTTCAGCATGGAGCCTGGTGCGGGGCTCATCTCCTGAGCCGGAGTCAAGAGTCAGCCACTTGACTGAGCCACCCAGGCACCCCTTTTGTTGCTTTTTAAAGACTCATTTAGAAATGAGTATTTTTTTGCATATAAATTTAAGAGATTGGGATATTCTTACTACCAGGAAGAAAGGGGAAACAACCAAACAAGGCCGTGTTCTGAAATCTATAGTAGTTTTCGGAGCTGAATGGCAGTGCTGGAGTTTTCTAGTGGTAACTTAGTGGGGGATGAGGGGATGAAGTAAGTGAGACTGTGGGCAGAAACTGTTATGCATCTCTGGAAATACTGAGATTTGAAGGTGCAAAGTTGGAAATTTCTTGGTCACCTGTTCTGTAGTCTTTGGCTTTACAGAAAAAAGTAGTTAATATTACAGTAGATTAATGTTTGTGTATTTTTTGGAATTGAATCAAAGTGATTTATTCGTACTTACACATTGGCCTGTTATATATACATTGTAAGATGTGTTTTTTGGGGCAATAGAATTATCAGCCCAAGTTATTTTAGAGATTCTTGGCAAGACAGTTGGCATCGTAGTATAGAATTCTTTCAGGGAAAGTCAATATGTTTTGTGCAGTAAAAATAGTAAAATTTGGTATGTTCTTTTGGGGGGTTTGTCTAACGAATTCCTAGTGCAGGTCGAAAGTAAGGAGAGGTACCTGTCAGATGAAGAAAAGTAGGAGAAGTTCAGGAACAAGGTGGGGGGGTGCCCATAGGACATGACACTGAAGTCAGCATGAGTTAGAGATGGCCCAGCTCACGTCAGCTTTAATAACACCTTTCTAGAACCTCGGATGCTCTTCATTGCCCATTTCTTTTGTGCTGTTACTTTGTCTTCTAGTGATGCGTGTTATACTGGGCTGATTGACAAGGTGCAGGACCAAGAACTTGCCCACTTAACTGTTCGCTTTTTGCCTTTGACTTAACTTTAAACTATAGTGTTGGTTGAATAATATAAATAAGTTTTTTGGGTATTGTACCTATTTTAGCATTGTCAAATAGGTGTATCATTTGCATTCTTTTCATAGAACAGAGAATATAATCAGCAATCTGAATTTAGTTCTTACTATTCTTAGGGTCCTGTTCTTTAAAAAAAAACTACTTAAATTTGAAACATCCCCTGAAAAGTAGTTTTTGTGGGTTTTTTTTTTTTGAACTAGAAATTCTATGAACTACCTAAAATATGTAGCCAAATGTACAGTCCTGTTAGCTCTGCATTTTGTACATATTTTGCTAATTGGCTTTTGCAGGGAGGTAACATAGATTAGCAGTGTGGGGGTGATAGTCATTTGACTTCTCTGATAATCTCTCACTGTATCACATGCTTTCCTGGAGAGGCCTCTGGGTGTTGGTGAACTGTTCTGACAAATCCGTGCCCACGTGATTGCTCGTCCATTTCAGGTTTGGAGGTTCCATGAAAAACAGTTTGGCTTGCTAACAAGACCACCTATTTCCCAATCTCCAGG